GAAATTGCTCCCAAGGATGAACCAGACTTGTGGAGGTCTACAATTTTAATTCTGAGGTCTTGGATGATTTCTTTTCATTTTCCCATTATGTCAAGCAAAGAGGCACTGAGTTTGAAGGTAGGCCTTGAAATACATCCATAGGTACACCTCCAATTGACTCAAATTATGTCAATTAGTATATCAGAAGCTTCTAAAGCCATGACATCATTTTCTGGAATTTTCCAAGCTGTTTAAAGGCACAGTCAACTTAGTGTTTGTAAACTTCTGACCCCACTGGAATTGTGATACAGTGAATTATAAGTGAAATAATCTGTCTGTAAACAATTGTTGGAAAAATTACTTGTGTCATGCACAAAGTAGATGTCCTAACCGACTTGACAAAACTATAGTTTGTTAACAAGAATTTTGTGGAGTGGTTGAAAAACGAGTTTTAACGTCTCCAACCTAAGTGTATGTAAACTTCCGACTTCAACTGTATCTACTGGTTACTGCTAATATTGCACTGCTAATTTCATTGCTAATGAAGCTATCTTTATCCACAATTATACTATGCTAATTAGCTTATTAGCCATTTACCATTGCTGCAATGTTCCATTACACTGCTCCTGCTAGCACCTTATGTACATCACTGCTAATACATTAGCATAGTAGCACACATTGCCATTGTATAGTAATAACTAATTACATCCTGTGTTTCTTTCTGTTTCTTATCCAAAGAAATCTATCTATCACTATCCTTGCCACCATTATCAAACCTAGTTCAATTCAATGCCGTGTGTTTGCTTGTGGCAAAACATTAGCAATGTGAGTCTCCTGCTGCGTCATTGTCCCTCTGACCGGCACTTATCAAAGTTCACCGACCACCAGGTGGCGTTCTTTTTCAACTAGACTAAACTAAACTATAACGATTGGAAGAGAAAGACAGAGGACTCAGTGAGTTAAACTGAATTAAACTAAGCTAGAACAACTGGAAGAGAAGCCAGAGGACTTAGTAGAGTTATTAAACTAAACTATAACGACCAGAGGACATTGTGAGGTAAATGAACAAAACAAAACTTAGCTAGAACAACTGGATGAGAAGTCACTAAAGCAACGTCACCAAACAGAAGGATATAAGGGTGGCCAACCGGTTTCATGACTTATGGTGGCTGAGGTGCAGGAGGAGTTTGGATAGAAGGGTGGACAACCGGTTTCATGACGTATCGTTGCTGTGGTGCAGGAGGAGTTTGGATAGAAGGGTAGCTAACCGTGGACACCTGCTCGTCAATCATGTCATTCCAAAATCATGGGCATTAATATGGAGTTGGTCCCCCCTTTGCTGCTATAACAGCCTCCAATCTTCTGGTAAGGCTTCCACTAGATGTTGGAACATTGCTGAGGGGACTTGCTTCCATTCAGACACATTAGTTAGGTCGGGTATTGATGTTGGAAGATTAGGCCCGCAGTCTGCGTTCCAATTCATCCCAAAGGCGTTCGATGGTGTTGAGGTCAGGGCTCTGTGCAGGTCAGTCAAGTTCTTCCACACCGATCTCGACAAACCATTTCTGTATGGACCTCGCTTTGTGCACTGGGGCACTGTCATGCTGAAACAGGAAAGGTCCTTCCCCAAACTGCTGCCAAAGTTGGAATACAGAATCCTCTAGAATGTCATTGTTTGCTGTAGCGTTAAAATGTCCCTTCACTGGAACTAAGGGGCCTAGCCCAAACCATGAAAAACAGCCCCAGACCATTATTCCTCCTCCGCCAAACTTTACAGTTGGCACTATGCATTGGGGTAGGTAGAGCTCTCCTGGCATCCGCCAAACCCAGATTTGTCTGTCGGACTGCCAGATAGTGAAGCGTGATTCATCACTCCAGAGAACAGAGTCCAATGGTGGTGAGCTTTACACCACTCCAGCCAACGCTTGGCATTGCGTATGGTGATCTTAGGCTTGTGTGCGGCTGCTCGGACATGGAAACCCATTTCATGAAGCTCCGGACTAACAGTTCTTGTGCTGAGGTTGCTTCCAGAAGCAGTTTGGAACTCGGTGGTGAATGTTGCAACCGAGGAGATGTTTACGCGCTACGTCCCGTTCTGTGAGCTTGTGTGGCCTACCACTTTGCGGCTGAGCCGTTGTTGATCCTAGACGTTTCCAATTCACAATAACAGCACTTACAGTTGACCAGGGCAGCTCTAGCAGGGCAGAAATTTGACGAACTGAATTGTTGGAAAGGTGGATTCCTATGACGGTGCCACGTTGAAAGTCACTGAGCTCTTCAGTATGGCCATTCTACTGCCAATGTTTCACTATGGAGATTGCATGGCTGTGTACTCGATTTTATAAACCTGTCAGCAATGGGTGTGGCTGAAATAGCCGAATCCACTAATTTGAAGGGGTGTCCACATACTTTTGTATACAGTATATAGTGTAGTTTAGTGCCTAAAATAAGGGGATAAATACAAAAATATTGAAATAGTTTCCTGATCTTTCTTATACAGTGAGGGAAAAAAGTATTTGATCCCCTGCTGATTTTGTACGTTTGCCCACTGACAAAGAAATGATCAGTCTATATTTTTAATAATGGTAGGTTTATTTGAACAGTGAGAGACAGAATAACAACAAAAAAATCCAGAAAAACGCATGTCAAAAATGTTATAAATTGATTTGCATTTTAATGAGGGAAATAAGTATTTGACCCCCTCTCAATCAGAAAGATTTCTGGCTCCCAGGTGTCTTTTATACAGGTAACGAGCTGAGATTAGGAGCACACTCTTAAAGGGAGTGCTCCTAATCTCAGCTTGTTACCTGTATAAAAGACACCTGTCCACAGAAGCAATCAATCAATCAGATTCCAAACTCTCCACCATGGCCAAGACCAAAGAGCTCTCCAAGGATGTCAGGGACAAGATTGTAGACCTACACAAGGCTGGAATGGGCTACAAGACCATCGGCAAGCAGCTTGGTGAGAAGGTGACAACAGTTGGTGCGATTATTCGCAAATGGAAGAAACACAAACGAACTGTCAATCTCCCTCGGCCTGGGGCTCCATGCAAGATCTCACCTCGTGGAGTTGCAATGATCATGAGAACGGTGAGGAATCAGCCCAGAACTACATGGGAGGATCTTGTCAATGATCTCAAGGCAGCTGGGACCATAGTCACCAAGAAAACAATAGGTAACACACTACGACGTGAAGGACTGAAATCCTGCAGCGCCCGCAAGGTCCCCCTGCTCAAGAAAGCACATATACAGGGCCGTCTGAAGTTTGCCAATGAACATCTGAATGATACAGAGGAGAACTGGGTGAAAGTGTTGTGGTCAGATGAGACCAAAATCGAGCTCTTTGGCATCAACTCAACTCGCTGTGTTTGGAGGAGGAGGAATGCTGCCTATGACCCCAAGAACACCATCCCCACCGTCAAACATGTTGGTGGAAACATTATGCTTTGGGGGTGTTTTTCTGCTAAGGGGACAGGACAACTTCACCGCATCAAAGGGACAATGGACGGGGCCATGTTCCTCAGCCAGGGCATTGAAAATGGGTCGTGGATGGTTATTCTGTAAAATTCCAAATCTGTAGCTCAGCTGGTAGAGCACAGCGCTTGTAACACAAGGGTAGTGGGTTTGATCCCCGGGACCACCCATACACAAGAAAAAAAATTATGCACGCATGACTGTAAGTTGCTTTGGATAAAAGCGTCTGCTAAATGGCATATTATTATTATTATTATTATTCCAGCATGACAATGTCCCAAAACACACGGCCAAGGCAACAAAGGAGTGGCTCAAGAAGAAGCACATTAAGGTCCTGGAGTGGCCTAGCCAGTCTCCAGACCTTAATCCCATAGAAAATCTGTGGAGGGAGCTGAAGGTTCGAGTTGCCAAACGTCAGCCTCGAAACCTTAATGACTTGGAGAAGATCTGCAAAGAGGAGTGGAACAAAATCCCTCCTGGGATGTGTGCAAACCTGGTGGCCAACTACAAGAAACGTCTGACCTCTGTGATTGCCAACAAGGGTTTTGCCACCAAGTACTAAATCATGTTTTGCAGAGGGGTCAAATACTTATTTCCCTCATTAAAATGTAAATCAATTTATAACATTTTTGACAAGCGTTTTTCTGGATTTTTTTGTTGTTATTCTGTCTCTCACTGTTCAAATAAACCTACCATTAAAATTATAGACTGATCATGTGTCACGAATTCGGCCGAGACTGCTCCTCCTCCTTGCTCGGGCAGGCTTCAGCGTTCGTCGTCCCCGGAGTACTAGCTGCCACCGTTGAATGTTTCGATGTTCGTTTGGTTGGGTCTGTCTGTTACACCTGTGTCTGTTTGGGTCTGATTATGTGCCCTATAAGTTTCCTGTGTTGTTTTCGTTAGTTTGTGTGTTATTGTCCGCCTGTCCGTTGGTGTCCCCTGTGCTGTACTCTGGACTTAGTTTATTGTGACGCACTGTGTTGCGTTGTCGCTCGCCTCCTTGTTTTGAGGTCCTTTATTTTGTATTGTTTTTACAGTTAGTAAAGTCTTGTTTGACTCAGCCTATGCGTCCTGCGTCTGACTCCTCAACCGCATCCACATCACCACTGACATCATGTCTTTGTCAGTGGGCAAACGTACAAAATCAGCAGGAGATCACTTTTTTTTTTCCCTCACTGTATCTCTCAGGTACAGGAAAGACACTTCAGAACAAACTTCCTTAAGCTTTTTTGGGGGATTATCTGTTGTTCCATGTAGTGAATCTGTTATTCAATGTGTTTGTATGGGCTAATAGCAGTAATGCCAAATTCAATGTTTCATCCAATAATTTTTTTACATATTATTTGGCTACCTTAAGGGGTCTTAAAATTCCAAATCAAATAGCTAAATAATCCTCGGTATGACCATCTTAAAACAATCCCCCCCCCCCCCCCCCCCTCCCCCGGCATAGACTCCAGAGGGATATTAACAGTCAGTTGTCTGTACAAGCACTCCACTTCCACTGACTAGAGCATAGATGTCCTGTCTCCATGTTAGTTTTTAGAAACGTACCTGATAGAGATATCCTGCTGTCTCCCTTCAGTGCTACGGCTGAACCCTGAGGAGCTGAAGGCTCTATTTGAGTTTGAGGAGCAGTGTGTGGAGGAGTATTTCAGAGAGAAGGAGGACGAGCACCATTCATCCAGCGACCAGAGGATCAAGGTCACATCAGAACGGTAAGACAATCCCACCCAATCACAATGCTCACTGCAAAACACTTCCACCCAATTACAACGTCTGCTGAAGATGGCACAGATGGTTCATTAAATTAAAATGACCATGACCAAAAGTGTTGTCGAATCTGGTATTTTATAAGTGTGAAGTATCAGTTCCTGAAGCTACTGATGTTGTTGTTCTAGGAGCTTGTCTAATATGAACCTTCTGTCTCTCCTTCCTCCCCCCAGGGTGGAGAACATGTCCATGCGTCTGGAGGAGGTGAATGAGAGGGAGAACACCATGAAGGCGTCCCTGCAGACGGTGGACCTTCGCCTGGCTCAGCTGGAAGACATCCACAGCCGCATGGTGAACGCCCTAGAGAAGCTGGCTGGGGTCGACCAGTCAGAGCTGAAACGCTCCCACTCCACACACTCGTCCCACTGCGACCCGTCCTCCCTGCTCCGAGCCAGCTCCATCAACAGCGTTGACGGCTACAGCATGTACCGCTTCCAGATGGACGTGGACGAGCAGTCTCAGAGGGAGACGGAGAGAAAAGCTCCGCTTGGCCCTGAGAGGCAGGGCAGCGTACAGTCTTGTTTAGGGTCTGAAAGAAAGGGCGGTGTAAGCAGCACATCCAACCTGTCTGTAGGTCCGGAGCGACAGGGCAGTCTACAGAAAGCATCTAGCGCATCTACCCTGACTGTAGGCCGGGAGCGACATGGCAACCTACAAGCCAGGGCCGCCAAGGACTACGGCCTGCCGTTAGACATGGACAGAGCAGACAGGACACGGCCCAGCTCCTGTGTGGACATCCTGATCTCCCCATGTGAACAAAGGGCTGAAGGGGAGACAGGTGGAGGCGAGACTGTGACTGACATACCTAAAGACAAAGTACCAGACCCTACAGATCCACTGGATGCTGCATTAGCTAAAGCAGGTCTACCAAGAGAGAAGACCAAACTGGAGAAGTCTAAATCTGTTAAATGCTATCCCAGCGACCTTGTAGATAACTGCACTACCTCTAGGGCCAGGGCTAAGAGCACTATTCTCTACGACCAAGCTGCTGCCAATTGCGAGGCCCTCTGGGTTGCAGACTTCAATCCTAAACAGGAAGCCCCAGACACTAGAGATCTGCTGGATACTGCATTAGCTAAAGATGGTCTCCCAAGAGAGAAGCCCAAGCTGGTGGCTACCATGTCCTCCCCATTGGAGAAGTTAATCCATGCTATACCATGCTACCACACCAAATCTCTGGTTATCCCTCGATCCGCTAGGACCAGGGCTAAAAGCACCATCTCACCAACAACAGCAGAGGATGACAGCAAGGCCCTCCGGACTGCAGACTACAGATCTGTGATGGACCAGGTGGCCAATGCTCCAGGCCAGTTGGCAGCCTGCTGGGAGTACAAGGTCCACCACAGCCACATCGGACAACAGCCTCGTGGCCAGCTGCTACCTGACACGGAGAGTGTCTCTGAACCTGGGTCTGAACAACAGGAGTCTGACATGGTTCCTCTGATTCCACCAGCCGAAGAGACTGAACTGCTTAAACCACCTTCTGACATGGTTCCACAAGAGGCTTTGCTGGTTATACCAGAGGCTTTGCTAGTTCCTCCAGACATGAAGTTGTCCCCAACCCCTCCTCTGACTGAGTTGGATCCTCAGAAGACTGAGAAAGTTCCACGAGTTCTTCCACTGTGTCCTCCAACTATAGAAACATACCTGGTTCTTCCAACCATAGAAACACACCTGTTACCTCCAACCATAGAGACTGAACTAGTTCCTCCAGCTATAGAGACTGAACTAGTTGTTCTAGCTATAGAGACTGAACTAGTTACTCCAGCTATAGAGACTGAACTAGTTGTTCCAGCTATAGAGACTGAACTAGTTCCTCCAGCTATAGAGACTGAACTAGTTATTCCAGGTATAGAGACTGAACTAGTTGTTCCAGCTATAGATACTGAACTAGTTCCTCCAGCTATAGAGACTGAACTAGTTCCTCCAGCTATAGAGACTGAACTAGTTCCTCCAGCTATAGAGACTGAACTAGTTCCTCCAGCTATGAGACTAGAGACTATAGAACTACTTATCCAGCATAGAGACTGAACTACTTATTCAGCAGACCATGACTGAAACTAGTTCATTAAGATGAACTAGTTTTCCAGTATAGAGACTTAACTACTGTATTCCCAACCATCAGCATGAACTGAACTAGTTTCCCAGAGCTATCCAAAGACTGAACTACCTATTTTAAACAGTTATTTAAACAGTAGAGACTTACTAGTTTCAACATCACATTGAACTAGTTATCAGCTATAGACTGAATCTTTTAAACAGCCTGAACTAGTATTATCCATAAGCCAACCCACAGAGAAATGAATTAGTTATTAAACAATGGGAGAAGAACTAGTTATTCCAAAATATAGAGACTGAAATAGTAATCCAACAAGAGTGACTGAAAAAGTTCCTCCACCCATACAAACTGAACTAGGTTTAATCCAACCATACACACTAAACTAGTTATTCCAGCTATAGAGACTGAACTAGTTATTCCAACCATAGAGACCTAACTAATTAATCCATCTGTAGTGACTAAAGTATTATTTCAACAATAGACACTGAACTAGTTATTCCAGCTATTGATATGTAACTAGTTATACCACCCATAGAGACCGAACTAGTTTTTCCAACCATAGAGACTGAACTACTTATTCCAAACATAGGGTGGCACACAATTGGCCCAGCGTCGTCCAGGTTTGGCCGGTGTAGGCCGGCATTGGAAATAATAATTTGTTCTTAACTGACTTGCCTAGTTAAATAAAGGTAAAATAAAAATAAAATAAAAAAATAGACTGAACTACTTCCTGCAACCAAAGAGACTGAGCTAGTTATACCTACTATAGAGACTGAGCTAGTTATTCCAACTATAGAGACTGAGCTAGTTATTCCAACTATAGAGACTGAGCTAGTTATTCCAACTATAGAGACGGAACTAGTTATTCCAACTATAGAGACTGAGCTAGTTATTCCAACTATAGAGACTGAGCTAGTTATTCCAACTATAGAGACTGAGCTAGTTATTCCAACTATAGAGACGGAACTTATTCCTCCAATCATACAGACTGAACTGATTATTCCAACCATAGAGATTTAACTAATTATTCCAGACATAGAGACTGAGATAGTTATTCCAGCTATACAGACTGAACTAGTTATTCCAAGTATAGAGACTGAACTATTATTCCAACCGTAGAGACTGAAACATTTATTCCAACCATAGAGACTGAACTAGTTATTCCAACAATATACACTGAACTAGTTCCTTAAACAACAGAGACTGAAGTAGTTATTACAACCATAGAGACTGAACTTATTTTTCAAGCTATAGTGACTGAACTACTTATTCCATCCATAGCAATTGAACTAGTTATTCCAAACAGAGACTGAACTAGTTATTCCAACAATAGACAAATAATTAGTTCATCCTACAATAGAGACTGAACAAGTCATTCACAGCAAAGAAACTGAATTAGTTATTCCAGCTTTAGACTGAACTAAATATTCCAGCCATAGAGTCTGAGCTAGTTATTCCATTATACAGACTAAACTACTTATTTTATCCATGGAGACTTAACTAGTTATTCCAGCTATATAGACTGAACTACATATTCCAACAATAGAGCCTGATTTAGTTATTCCAAACTTATACTGAACTATTTCTTCCAACCATATAGACTGAACTATTTCTTCCAACCATATAGACTGAACTATTTCTTCCAACCATATAGACTGAACTATTTCTTCCAACCATATAGACTGAACTATTTCTTCCAACCATATAGACTGAACTATTTCTTCCAACCATATAGACTGAACTATTTCTTCCAACCATATAGACTGAACTAGTTCCTCCAACCAAAGAGACTGAACTAGTTATTCCAACCATAGAGACTGAACTAGTTATTCCAGTTAAAGAGACTGAACTAATTATTGCAACCATAGAGACTGAACTAGTTTTTCCAGCTATAGTGACTGAATTACTTTTTTCCAACCATAGCACTTTAACTACTTATTCCAACCATATGGACTGAAATCATTTGTCCAGCCATACAGACTGATCTAGTTATTCCAGCCATACATACTGATCTAGTTATTCCAACAATAGAGCCTGATTTAGTTATTCCAAACTTATACTGAACCAATTCTTCCAACCATATAGACTGAACTAGTTCCTCCAACCATAGAAACTGAACAAGTTATTCCAGTTAAAGAGACTGAACTAGTTCCTCCAGCTATAGAGACTGAACTAGTTCCTCCAGCTATAGAGACTGAACTAGTTCCTCCAGCTATAGAGACTGAACTAGTTCCTCCAGCTATAGAGACTGAACTAGTTCCTCCAGCTATAGAGACTGAACTAGTTCCTCCAGCTATAGAGACTGAACTAGTTCCTCCAGCTATAGAGACTGAACTAGTTACTCCAGCTATAGAGACTGAACTAGTTCCTCCAGCTATAGAGACTGAACTAGTTCCTCCAGCTATAGAGACTGAACTAGTTCCTCCAGCTATAGAGACTGAACTAGTTCTTCCAGCTATAGAGACTGAACTAGTTCCTCCAACCATAGAAACTGAACTAGTTATTCCAGTTAAAGAGACTGAACTAGTTATTGCAACCAGAGACTGAGCTAGATATTCCAACCATAGAGACTGAACTAGTTCCTCCAATCATAGAGAATTAACTAGTTATTCCAACCAAAGAGACTGAAAGTTATTCCAACCATAGGATCTGAACTAGTTAATCCAGCCAAAGAGACCTAAATAGTTATTCCAACCATACAAAATTGACACACATACTGAACTATTTTGTCGAACCATAGAGACTGAACTAGTTCATTGAACAAAGGAGACTGAACTAGTTCCTCCAATCATACAGAGTGAACTAGTTATTCCAGCTATAGAACTGATATAGTTATTCCAACAATAGAGACTGAACTATTAATTCCATTCAATAGAGACTGAACTAGTTACTCCAGCTATAGAGACTGAACTAGTTCCTCCAGCTATAGAGACTGAACTAGTTTTCCAGCTATAGAGACTGAACTAGTTCTTCCAACAATAGAGACTGAAATAGTTATTCCAACCAACGAGAAAGAATGCACTAGTTATTCCAACCAACGAGAAAGAATGCACTAGTTATTCCAACCAACGAGAAAGACTGAACTAGTTATTCCAGCTATAGAGACTGAACTAATTATACCAATCACATAGTCTGAACTAGTTCCTCCAGCTATAGAGACTGAACTAGTTCCTCCAGCTATAGAGACTGAACTAGTTCCTCCAGCTATAGAGACTGAACTAGTTTTCCAGCTATAGAGACTGAACTAGTTCCTCCAGCTATAGAGACTGAACTAGTTCCTCCAGCTATAGAGACTGAAATAGTTCCTCCAGCTATAGAGACTGAACTAGTTTTCCAGCTATAGAGACTGAACTAGTTATTCCAGCTATAGAGACTGAACTAGTTCCTCCAGCTATAGAGACTGAACTAGTTCCTCCAGTTATAGAGACTGAACTAGTTCCTCCAGCTATAGAGACTGAACTAGTTCCTCCAGCTATAGAGACTGAACTAGTTCCTCCAGCTATAGAGACTGAACTAGTTCCTCCAGCTATAAAGACTGAACTAGTTCCTCCAGCTATAGAGACTGAACTAGTTGTTCTAGCTATAGAGACTGAACTAGTTACTCCAGCTATAGAGACTGAACTAGTTGTTCCAGCTATAGAGACTGAACTAGTTATTCCAGCTATAGAGACTGAACTAGTTGTTCCAGCTATAGATACTGAACTAGTTCCTCCAGCTATAGAGACTGAACTAGTTCCTCCAGCTATAGAGACTAAACTACTTATTCCAACCATAGAGACTGAACTACTTATTCCAACCATAGACTAAACTAGTTATTTAAACAGTAGAGACTTAACTAGTTATTCCAACCATACACATTGAACTAGTTATTCCAGCTATAGAGACTGAACTCCTTTTTAAAACCATAGAGCCTGAACTAGATATTATAGCCATAGAGACTGAACTAGTTCCTCCAACCACAGAGAATGAATTAGTTATTAAAACCATGGAGACTGAACTAGTTATTTCCAAATATAGAGACTGAACTAGTTAATCCAACCATAGTGACTGAACAAGTTCCTCCAACCATACAAACTGAACTAGTTAATCCAACCATACACACTAAACTAGTTATTCCAGCTATAGAGACTGAACTAGTTATTCCAACCATAGAGACCTAACTAATTAATCCATCTGTAGTGACTAAAGTATTATTTCAACAATAGACACTGAACTAGTTATTCCAGCTATTGATATGTAACTAGTTATACCACCCATAGAGACCGAACTAGTTTTTCCAACCATAGAGACTGAACTACTTATTCCAAACATAGGGTGGCACACAATTGGCCCAGCGTCGTCCAGGTTTGGCCGGTGTAGGCCGGCATTGGAAATAATAATTTGTTCTTAACTGACTTGCCTAGTTAAATAAAGGTAAAATAAAAATAAAATAAAAAAATAGACTGAACTACTTCCTGCAACCAAAGAGACTGAGCTAGTTATACCTACTATAGAGACTGAGCTAGTTATTCCAACTATAGAGACTGAGCTAGTTATTCCAACTATAGAGACTGAGCTAGTTATTCCAACTATAGAGACGGAACTAGTTATTCCAACTATAGAGACTGAGCTAGTTATTCCAACTATAGAGACTGAGCTAGTTATTCCAACTATAGAGACTGAGCTAGTTATTCCAACTATAGAGACGGAACTTATTCCTCCAATCATACAGACTGAACTGATTATTCCAACCATAGAGATTTAACTAATTATTCCAGACATAGAGACTGAGATAGTTATTCCAGCTATACAGACTGAACTAGTTATTCCAAGTATAGAGACTGAACTATTATTACAACCGTAGAGACTGAAACATTTATTGCAACCATAGAGACTGAACTAGTTATTCCAACAATATACACTGAACTAGTTCCTTAAACAACAGAGACTGAAGTAGTTATTACAACCATAGAGACTGAACTTATTTTTCAAGCTATAGTGACTGAACTACTTATTCCATCCATAGCAATTGAACTAGTTATTCCAAACAGAGACTGAACTAGTTATTCCAACAATAGACAAATAATTAGTTCATCCTACAATAGAGACTGAACAAGTCATTCACAGCAAAGAAACTGAATTAGTTATTCCAGCTTTAGACTGAACTAAATATTCCAGCCATAGAGTCTGAGCTAGTTATTCCATTATACAGACTAAACTACTTATTTTATCCATGGAGACTTAACTAGTTATTCCAGCTATATAGACTGAACTACATATTCCAACAATAGAGCCTGATTTAGTTATTCCAAACTTATACTGAACTATTTCTTCCAACCATATAGACTGAACTATTTCTTCCAACCATATAGACTGAACTATTTATTCCAATCATATAGACTGAACTATTTATTCCAACCATATAGACTGAACTATTTCTTCCAACCATATAGACTGAACTATTTCTTCCAACCATATAGACTGAACTATTTCTTCCAACCATATAGACTGAACTAGTTCCTCCAACCAAAGAGACTGAACTAGTTATTCCAACCATAGAGACTGAACTAGTTATTCCAGTTAAAGAGACTGAACTAATTATTGCAACCATAGAGACTGAACTAGTTTTTCCAGCTATAGTGACTGAATTACTTTTTTCCAACCATAGCACTTTAACTACTTATTCCAACCATATGGACTGAAATCATTTGTCCAGCCATACAGACTGATCTAGTTATTCCAGCCATACATACTGATCTAGTTATTCCAACAATAGAGCCTGATTTAGTTATTCCAAACTTATACTGAACTAATTCTTCCAACCATATAGACTGAACTAGTTCCTCCAACCATAGAAACTGAACTAGTTATTCCAGTTAAATAGACTGAACTAGTTCCTCCAGCTATAGAGACTGAACTAGTTCCTCCAGCTATAGAGACTGAACTAGTTCCTCCAGCTATAGAGACTGAACTAGTTCCTCCAGCTATAGAGACTGAACTAGTTCCTCCAGCTATAGAGACTGAACTAGTTCCTCCAGCTATAGAGACTGAACTAGTTCATCCAGCTATAGAGACTGAACTAGTTCCTCCAGCTATAGAGACTGAACTAGTTCCTCCAACCATAGAAACTGAACTAGTTATTCCAGTTAAAGAGACTGAACTAGTTATTGCAACCAGAGACTGAGCTAGATATTCCAACCATAGAGACTGAACTAGTTCCTCCAATCATAGAGAATTAACTAGTTATTCCAACCAAAGAGACTGAGAGTTATTCCAACCATAGGATCTGAACTAGTTAATCCAGCCAAAGAGACCTAAATAGTTATTCCAACCATACAAAATTGACACACATACTGAACTATTTTGTCGAACCATAGAGACTGAACTAGTTCATTGAACAAAGGAGACTGAACTAGTTCCTCCAATCATACAGAGTGAACTAGTTATTCCAGCTATAGAACTGATATAGTTATTCCAACAATAGAGACTGAACTATTAATTCCATTCAATAGAGACTGAACTAGTTACTCCAGCTATAGAGACTGAACTAGTTCCTCCAGCTATAGAGACTGAACTAGTTTTCCATCTATAGAGACTGAACTAGTTCTTCCAACAATAGAGACTGAAATAGTTATTCCAACCAACGAGAAAGAATGCACTAGTTATTCCAACCAACGAGAAAGAATGCACTAGTTATTCCAACCAATGAGAAAGACTGAACTAGTTATTCCAGCTATAGAGACTGAACTAATTATACCAATCACATAGTCTGAACTAGTTCCTCCAGCTATAGAGACTGAACTAGTTCCTCCAGCTATAGAGACTGAACTAGTTTTCCAGCTATAGAGACTGAACTAGTTTTCCAGCTATAGAGACTGAACTAGTTCCTCCAGCTATAGAGACTGAACTAGTTCCTCCAGCTATAGAGACTGAACTAGTTCCTCCAGCTATAGAGACTGTACTAGTTCCTCCAGCTATAGAGACTGAACTAGTTCCTCCAGCTATAGAGACTGAACTAGTTCCTCCAGCTATAGAGACTGAACTAGTTCCTCCAGCTATAGAGACTGAACTAGTTCTTCCAGCTATAGAGACTGAACTAGTTCCTCCAGCTATAGAGACTGAACTAGTTCCTCCAGCTATAGAGACTGAAATAGTTTTCCACTAATAGAGACTGAACTAGTTTTCCAGCTATAGAGACTGAACTAGTTTTCCAGCTATAGAGACTGAACTAGTTTTCCAGCTATAGAGACTGAACTAGTTCCTTCAGCTATAGAGACTGAACTAGTTTTCCAGCTATAGAGACTGAACTAGTTCCTCCAGCTATAGAGACTGATCTAGTTTTCCAGCTATAGAGACTGAACTAGTTCCTCCAGCTATAGAGACTGAACTAGTTCCTCCAGCTATAGAGACTGAACTAGTTCCTCCAGCTATAGAGACTGAACTAGTTTTCCAGCTATAGAGACTGAACTAGTTTTCCAGCTATAGAGACTGAACTAGTTCCTCCAGCTATAGAGACTGAACTAGTTCCTCCAGCTATAGAGACTGAACTAGTTCCTCCAGCTATAGAGACTGAACTAGTTTTCCAGCTATAGAGACTGAACTAGTTATTCCAGCTATAGAGACTGAACTAGTTATTCCAGGTATAGAGACTGAACTAGTTGTTCCAGCTATAGATACTGAACTAGTTCCTCCAGCTATAGAGACTGAACTAGTTTTCCAGCTATAGAGACTGAACTAGTTCCTCCAGCTATAGAGACTGAACTAGTTCATCGAGCTATAGAGACTGAACTAGTTCCTCCAGCTATAGAGACTGAACTAGTTCTTCCAGCTATAGAGACTGGACTAGTTATTCCAGCTATAGAGACTGAACTGGTTATTCCAACGACTGAGACTGAACTAGTTATTCCTACTATAGAGACTGAACTACTTTTTCCAACCAATGTAATGCAAATAGTCCGGTTAGCCATGATTAGCTGTTCAGGAGTCTTATGGCTTGGGGTTAGAAGCTGTTAAGAAGCCTTTTGGACCTAGACTTGGCACTCCGGTACCGCTTCCCATGCGTTAGCAGAGAGAACAGTCTATGATTAGGGTGGCTGGAGTCTTTGATCATTTTTAGGACCTTCCTCTGACACCGCCTGGTATAGAGGTCATGGATGGCAGGAAGCTTGGCCCCAGTGATGTACTGGGCCGTACGCACTACCCTCTGTAGTACCTTGCGGTCGGAGGCCGAGCAGTTCCATACCAGGCGGTGATGCAACCAGTCAGGATGCTCTCGATGGTGCAGCTGTAGAACTTTTTGAGGATCTGAGGACCCATGCCAAATATTTTCAGTCTCCTGAGGGGGAATAGGCTTTGTCGTGCCCTCGTCACGACTGTCTTGGTGTATTTGGACCATGATAGTTTCTTGGTGATGTGGACACCAAGGAACTTGAAGCTCTCAACTTGTTCCACTACAGCTCCGACGATGAGAATAGGGGCGTGCTCAGTCCTCTTTTTTTTCCTCTAGTCCACAATCATCTCCTTTGTCTTGATCACGTTGAGGGAGAGGTTGTTATCCTGGCACCACACTGCCAGGTCTCTGACCTCCTCCCTATAGGCTGTCTCATCGTTGTCGGTGATCAGGCCTACCACTGTTGTTTTGTCGGCAAATTGAATGATGGTGTTGGTGTCGTGCCTGGCCATGCAGTCATGGGTGAACAGGGAGTACACGAGGGGACTGAGCACGCACCCCTGAAGGGCCCCCGTGTTGAGGATCAGTGTGGCAGATGTGTTGTTACATACCCTTACCACCTGGGGGCGGCCCGTCAGGAAGTCGAGGATCCAGTTGCAGAGGGAGGTGTTTAGTCCCAGGGTCCTTAGCTTAGTGATGAGCTTTGAGGGCACTATGGTGTTGAATGCTGAGCTGTAGTCAATGAATAGCATTCTCACGTAGGTGTTCCTCTTGTCCAGGTGGGAAAGGGCAGTGTGGAGTGCAATTAGGATTTCATAATCTGTGGATCTGTTGGGGCGGTATGCAAATTGGAGTGGGTCTAGGGTATCCGGGATGATGCTGTTGATGTGAGCCATGACCTGCCTTTCAAAGCACTTCATGGCTACAGACGTGAGTGCTACGGGTCGGTGGTCATTTAGGCAGGTTATCTTAGTGTTCTTGGGCACAGGGACTATGGTGGTCTGCTTGAAACATGTTGATATTACAGACTCAGTCAAGGACATGTTGAAAATGTCAGTGAAGACTCTTGCCAGTTGGTCAGTGCATGCTCGGAGTACACGTCCTGGTAATCCGTCTGGCCCTGCGGCCTTGTGAATTTTGACCTGCTTAAAAGTCTTACTCACATCGGCTACAGAGAGCTTGATCACATAGTCATCCGGAACAGCTGATGCTCTCATGCATGATTCGGTGTTGCTTGCTTCGAAGCGAGCATAGAAGTGATTTAGCTCGTCTGGTAGGCTTGTGTCACTAGGTAGCTCGCGGCTGTGCTTCCCTTTGTAGTCTGTAATAGGTTTCAAGCCCTGCCACATCCGACGAGCGTCAGAGCCAGTGTAGTACGATTCAATCTTAGTCATCTATTGACTCTTTGCCTGTTGATGGTTCGTCGGAGGGCATAGCAGGATTTCTTGTAAGCGTACGGGATAGAGTCCCACTCCTTGAAAGCGGCAGCTCTACCCTTTAGCTCAGTACGGCTGTTGCCTGTAATCAATGGCTTCTGGTTGGGGTAGTTATTCAGACTGAGGAGGACCAGACCCAGGTCCAGGAGGCTACTGGCCCAGAGAACAGGCCCAGACAAGGCTACCTGCTGATGGCTGAGAAGGAGAGGATGTTCCCTCACAGGTCTAAGAGCTGGAACGCCATCGACCGGAAGGTAAGAGCCTGGGATACATAATGGAGAAACCAAGAGCCGTTAGCAGACACAGAGTTATAGTTGGAGTGTGTAGCGTCTCCTCTGAGGAGATAAAGGAGGAGGAGGGGAAGAGAAAGGAAGAGAAGAGAAGGAGAAGATAGAGTAGCGGGAAGGAACCGGATGCTAAGAAGAGAGAGGAGAAGAGAGAGGAGGAGAAGAGGAGAGAGAGGAGAAGAGAGGAGGAGAAGAGAGAGGAGGAGAAGAGAGAGGATAAGAAGAGAGAGGAGAGAAGAGAGAGGAGGAGATAGAGAGGGGAGGAGGAGAGAGAGAGAGGAGGAGAAGAGAGGAGAAGAAGAGAGGAGGAGAAGAGAGAGGAGGGAGAAGAGAGAGGAGAAGAGAGGAGAAGAGAGAGGAGAAGGAGAGAGAGGAGGAGAAGAGAGGAGGAGAAGAGAGAGGAGAAGAAGAGAGAGAGGAGAAGAAAGAGAGGAGGAGAAGAGAGGAGGAGAAGAGAGAGGGGAGGAGAAGAGAGAGGAGGAGAAGAGAGGAGAAGAAGAGAGGAGAATAATAGAGAGGAGGAGAAGAGAGAGGAGGAGAGAGAGAGAAGAAGAGAGAGGAGGAGGAGAGAGAGGAGGAGAAGAGAGAGGAGGAGAAGAGAGGAGGAGAGAAGAGGGAGGAGAGAGAGAGGAGGAGAAGAGAGGAGGAGAAGAAGAGAGGAGAAGAAGAGAGAGGAGGAGGAGAGAGGGGAGGAGAAGAGAGATGCCATGGCAACCAGCCACCACTGGACCACTGTCAAAAACTCCAGAACCATCCACCACTGAACTACTGTCAAACACTCCAGAACCATCCACCACTAGACACTGTCAAATACTCCAGAACCATCCACCACTGGACCACTGTAAAACACTCCAGAACCATCCACCACTGGACCACTGTCACGTACTCCAGATTCACAGCAGAACCAGCCACCACTGGACCAATGTCAAACAATCCAGAACCACCACATAACCATCCACCACTGGATCACTGTCAAATACCCCAGAACCATCCACCACTGGACAACTGTCAAATACTCCAGAACCACCATAGAACCATCCACCACCGGACCACATTCAAATACTCCAGATTCGAACACTCCAGAACCACCACAGAACTGCTGTTGAACACTTTTAGTCCCGGTCAAATATAAACAGTCCTACAAAAATGAAATAAAATGACCTAATCAATCTCTCAGAAGACATCATTTTTCCTATATAGTATTGTGGGGATGAAATATCAAAATGATGTCATTGTAATATCTACAAAATTGGAATAAAATAAATAATCTATTGCCATTTACTCCCCTTCCTTTGTGAAACTGCATCACCACACTCATAACTGCTTACCTTATGACCGGTACTAGCTATTATCAACAATCTGAGCACTAAAACACAATCACTTAACTGACAGTTACCTAAAAGTATTGTTACCAAACCAGTTAGTCAGACTACTGAAACGCCTCACTATGTCTGGGTTCCTAGGTCAGCCGATCAGCACCAGACAGGACAGGTGTATCACGAGGCAGGTAGCTTACCTTCTCCAGGTTCTGACCTCTGACCGGCAACGTTGGCCATCTGGGTCGAGCAGTTCCAGTGTTTGGTCATTCAAATTGTTGGTATGTATTGTGGTACCGAGTATAGGCCAATATGTTACATAGACAGACTGGCAGCCAGCTGGCTACATAGACAGACTGGCAGCCAGCTGGCTACATAGACTGGCAGCCAGCTGGCTACATAGACAGACTGGCAGCCAGCTGGCTACATAGACAGGCAGCCAGCTGGCTACATAGATGGGCAGCCAGCTGGCTACATAGACTGGCAGCAGCTGGCAATAGACTGCAGCAGGCGCTACATAACAAACTGCAGCCAGCTGGCTACATAGACTGGCAGCCAGTGGCACATAGCAACTGGCAGCAGCTGGCTACATAGACAGACTGCAGCCACGGCTACATAGATGCAGCCACTGGTACATACGATGAGCCAGCTGGCTACATAGATGGCAGCCAGTGGCTACATAGACGATGGCAGCAGTGGCTACATAGACAGACTGGCAGCCAGCTGGACATAGACATGGCAGCAGCTGCTACATAGACTGGCAGACAACGGCTACAGACAGGCTAGCTAGCTACATAACAGACTGGCAGCAGCGGCTACATAAATGCCAGCTAATACAGACAGGCAGCTGGCTACATAAGACTGGCAGCAGCTGGTGCTACAAGACAGACTGGGAAATACCAAAACCAGGCTAGCTAGCCATAAACAAATAGCTAAATGTAGCTACAAACTCCAAA